GACAAAATACAGGTAATAATAACAGAGTATGATGTAAGTATAATAATAACAGGATTTTTAATCTTTTTGTTTATGGTTTATTTAACAAATAGGCCCCAAGTTGGCGCTGCTTACACGTCCAACCTTGGACCTTAAAGGATACTCGGTCAAGATGGCTTACCCCTTCGGGTAGAAACGTAGCCGAGGTTTGTTTACTGATAGGCGAAAACATTTATTATATTGACCACCGCGTGCAGCCCACAAATGAGGGCGTGAAGGTAGGGCTCCATGCATGCCTACACCCGCCACTAGATGGTGGTGAGTGGTCAGCATTACGGGTCCCAGGGCGCAGACAAAGGATCTCTGTCTCAGATGTCAGAAGTTTTACAAACGCATGAATAAATGACTGTCGCCTAGTGAATATCGGCTTTACTTAACTGAATTATAATACTTTATAAGGAAAACGACATGTTTCGGTGGTGTTCACCCCTGGAAAGATTCACCACACCCTTTTCTTCGAGTCTCAATCGAGAATGTCAACGCACCCCCTTCTTCACGTCTATACGTACTCACTTTAATCCAAAGAAACGCATCGGGAATGTAAATGAGCCGGGAGACATTGGCGCACAGCGGAATCAACCATACAATGTGAGGGACCTCCACCCCCTCACGGGGTGGGGGCGAGAACAGACATCATCTGCAGCAAAAGAAAGCTGGAAGAAGGAGGAGACGTATTCTGTTTTATCGCCTCCACAGACTATATCTTTTTTGGACGAGTGAAAGAACACTCAACCCCCGATACAACGCCCCTATTTACCAACCTCTTCGCACTGCGCCTACGAAAGCCTAGGAATAGAAATTTCCGATGTTATTTCAAAGGAAATATTCGCCAAAGGCCATCCCCGCTAGCCGCCAACCGCCCGAGTGCGTTACAACACAAATGCACAGTTAAGCATTATACTCAAATTCGATACACCGCCATGTAATTTCTGTGTCCACGGGTTACAGAGACGTCTCCCTGGAATATTCAATTATAGAAATATGTACATGAACTATTCCCTCATGTGTGAGGGAGCAGACACCTCAGAAACGTCGGTAAACTTCTACCAGACTACACTACGCAACGACCCAAAGATGATTATGTTCAAGACCGCGTACAGTTAAAACTGCGCGATTGCTTGGGGCTACAACTTCTAATGACAGTTTCACAGAACATTTTAAATATTAAGACTTCGTCTTTATTTGAATGCCAGTGGGGAAGTGAGAGACATTTTCCGGACACAGGCCCACATGACGGCGAAAGTTAAAAGTTCGGAAGTCAATTGTCCGTGAAACGAGAAATGTGAAGCTGTGGATTCCGTATCTCACGGCCACGGAGGGAATTCTACCCGCTGTCAAATTTGCACACAAATAAACAAACACTACACCTCAATTTCATAACTCCGCACGGCCTATGAATCTCAATTTCAACACTTCGTGTAGCGAGCGAGTTGGTTACAGGAAGGGTGAATAGACAGCGAAATAATGACGTTGCTCGAATCACGGCTTCAGCTTCGAATGGAACTCTGCCTCTAAGATGAGACACAAATACGAGGAGGTTATTTCGTGAAACGAAAAGCGGCTATTGGGCCTAAAATGATAGCACAGCGCTGATATTCTACCCCCGTGTACATTTCATATTCAGAAAAGAAACGAAGTCTTCGTTGAAAAGCTGTGAGGTGTTCAGCTGGAAAAGGCATTTTACACTCTTATGAAACCCGAAGGCCCATTACGGCCTATGCGTCTCTACCCTGAGAAAGAATATTCCAATCCACACCTCGCAGTATATTTATTTAAGCCTAGTTCTCCGGAGTGGTATCTTCTGTTAAGATTCTTGTTTGCTGTTCAACTTTTGCAAAAGGCTCCATGGATTCAGACAATACATGGGACTGCGTATCTGAATGACGCGGGTGCATTATAACGCATATTTTACACGAGTTTTAAAATCAATTTATTAAGCTTCTCATCGAGAAAAAAAAAACTTTTAGGTTTCTAGGTACCAAATAAGAAACAGGTCTCTTTATGAAGATTTCTGTCTTCTGGGTTGTTGCGCTGTGTAGTCTGGTCGATGTTAACCAACGTTTCAGAGGTCATACTGCCTCCGTCATCGCCCTG